CGATGACGCCGATGATCAAAGACCTTTGAGGAATCAAGCTAGATGACGGGTACTTTTACCAGAGCATCTATAAGTTCAGTCCAGCATGCACGGGCTACCAGTAGGTCTGCGGTGCCTGACCGATTGTGGCGAAATTCGTCCTATTCCGGAGCAAAGATTTTATTGCTCTCTGGATCCCCCCATGAGTTCGCCGGCGACAATGGCCTTGGAGGACATTGGGAGTAGTATTATCGGGCGATAGTTTGCTGGTCTGTGCGACTTCATTTTTATAAATTGGAGCGAAAATCCAGTGCTTCCATACAGTGGTAATCTACATCTGAAAATCTAATTGGAATAACCTTACTAGCCGTTCTGCTAAACTCACGGTAACCAGCTTCAACGCCTTTTGGCAAATCTCTTCTGTCCCAGGGTTGTTGCACTTGCCCAAGGACATCAACCGTTTCAGTACATCCGTGGCGGTAATCGATTTTTGCCTTACCGCAGTATGATCTACGTAAAAAGGGTAGATGACTGAACATTTTGGGATGTACGGCTGAGTTGTTGTCCAAGAACGTTAGCCGGCTCTTGCGCCGTTTGCATTAGTCCACATTCCTTGTGAGGAGCGCCAATCCTGCGCCTAAGTACAAAGTTTGTTCATGTGTATGTAAAGTAAATTGATTAGACTAAATTATTAGTACAAGATCTTCTTGTTCATCGTTGTACACAATGCACTTGAGTAATAGCAGTTGGCTGCAAAATAATGCTACAAGGTGAGTGGAATGTTCGCATTTCAATTGGTGCTTGCTGCGTTTACTTCGATTGTCCAGTGCGTCATTTTGACACTGAATTGTTTTGTCTCGAAATGTTTTTTATGTCTGCTTTTGCAAATGCGTATGTGTGCGCATCTATCTCAAATTACCAGTAACACATTCTGTGTGAAGAATGTACAACCTGACTGAAGGCTGCGCAAGCTCTTCACTCGTAGTCCACTATTTTGTCACTTAGGTTACAAATATTGTTACCTCACACCGTAAACCTATACGTACACCGGATAGTTAATGACAGCATCTATCCATGGATTTGCGTTCTATACATCCGCGACTAACCCATCAACTACAATACAATAGAACTGTCAACTTACCTGCTGACGAAACGTTTGAAATCAGATTGTCCAGGTCGGTGATCTACTGAATCACTGAACCCTTTGCTGCTGCATAGTTGCTTTTTTCTGAGTATTTATCAAAGGAGTTTTGGATAACCCACGTTCCACTTGGATTATGACACGTAGTCTTATTTGGGACCATGGTTTACATCGATGTAGGCCTGAGTCATTCCATCAGATGTGTGGAGTGTCTCGGTTTTGCTCGTCCCCAAAGCTGCACCTCACGACAGATTTCGTCCTCATTTTGGAACTGTACAAGCCGCGAGAAGAGTACCGTCTGCACCCGAAGTGGAGAATTTTTGGTTCCTCTCCCACCTCAAGCTACTGCTACCTGACGAGTTTGACCGATGACGAAGTCTGTCGTGGAGTACAGTGTGGGGAAGGAGAAATAAAAGTATCGACAGTACGCCGGTATTCAGCACCGATGTTTCGCTGCCGTGCAACCACCATCAGCCGCACGTGGACCAGGTATACTGCGATGGTCGTCCCGTCCTTACGCAGGCTCGAACCCGCGCCCTCGAATTACAAGGCAGTCATGTGGTCGGTAAGGCTAAAGGCCTACGTGGGGAACAGGTAACACCATGACTCTTCAGTGATCATCACCATCATCATCATTATACACATCAGCTAGAGGTGGGAAAACACCTCCGCTATTGTGCCGCAATACATGAAGGAAATACATACATACATATAATACAATACACAAAGGAAAAATAAATACGACAGTTTCATGCCAGCTGAGCTACCAGCAACGGATAGGCATCGTTCCGGTAAGCTACCAGCCAGCTACTAGGCAAAAATAAAAAAATTTATTATGTTTTACCCTACGAAATGAGATCGTAGATGGAAGGGGAGGCTAAAAGGGATGGGGAGGGACAAAGAAACTCACAGCACAAACGCCACTGAGGTCGGCTCCTTGCCATGTCAGCAGGTGTATCCAGCCAAATGTGTTCACCGTCTTTTGGACCCCAACCAGGGAGCCGTGACGCTCCAACCGAGGCTAGCTCCGAAGTGAGGGACTTCATTCCCCTGGACTAAGTCATCGCTTGGCCACCTCTCCTCTTCTTCCACCCACGTTCCCGGTGGGCAAACAACGCACGTCGAGGGAGTCGGTGGGCTGGCATGCGTAACACGTGGCCGAGTCATCGGAGCTTGGTGCGGGAAATAACGGTGCTGAGCGGTTCAGCTCCTTTTCCTGGGCCGTAAACAATGCGTCGAACACGCTCGTTACTCACGCGGTGTTCCCACCATATTTGAGCCAGACTGCGAAGGCACCGATGGTCGACCGTAACTAGCCTCTTCGTGTCCGCCGATCTTAGGGGCCAGGTTTCGCAACCGTACAGCAAGGTCGAACGTACCGCTGCATTGTACCCTCTACCCTTCAGGGCGAGAGTGATGTCGCGCCGCCGCCATAGGTGGCGAAGGTTAGCAAAAGCACTTCGAGCTTTCGCTATACGGTTCGTGATCTCGTCTTCGATCCCAAGGGCGCTGATACAACTTCCTAGGTAATTGAATTTCTGAGCGACTTCTAGCTGATCCCCACCAAGGGTCAGCGCAGGAGGCGATCCCTGCCAATCTTGGAGGAGCGCTTTGCACTTCGATGGTGCAAAGTAAAGCCCGAAGCGGCTGACAGCCAGTGCTAATCTGTCCAGCGCAGCTTGGCACGTCTGCGAGCTGTCACAGATGAGGGCAATGTCGTCTGCATACTCCAAGTCAAGAAGTCGTTCTTCTGGGAGTAGCTCCACACCTTCCAAGTCATGTCCTGTAAATGCAAACTCCATGGCTTCGTCAATAGCGAAGTTGAAGAGGAAAGGTGACAGCGGGCATCCTTGTCTCACACCGCTGGAGATATTGAAGGGTGGCGACAGCTTGCCGTATGCCCTCACTCTGTCTGAGCTATGCGCATATAATGCTTGGATAATATTAACATATTTCTCGGGCACACCTTTCCTGAGTAAACAATTCCAAAGGGCACATCGATCAACCGAATCGAAGGCACCTTTGATGTCGAGGAACACGACTAGGGTGGGCCGCCAATATGTGTAACGGTGCTCCAACAACTGACGCAATTTGAAGATGTTGTCGATGCAGCCACGACCACGATGAAACCCGGCTTGCTCCTCACGAATCTGGCTTTCACGAGCGCCAGTCAGTCTGTGAAGAATTATGGAGGCTAGTAATTTGGAGGCGATGGAGATCAGACTGATTCGTCTATGGTTGCCGCATTCCGAGCGCGAGCCGTCTTTGAAGATGGGAACAATAACGGAGCGGCTCCAGTCGGTTGGGACAGTCTCCTGCTCCCACAGTTTCACTAGTAATTCATGTAAAGCATCAACAAGAGCAGAACCTCCGAATTTGAAGAGGGCTGGAGGAAGATCATCTGGTCCCGCGGCTTTGTTCAACTTCAGCAGTCCGATCTCACGTTCGACTTCTGAGCGAGAGGGTGGATCTAAAGGGACAGTCCACGGAGCAGGGCGATCGCTCGCCGGCGAAGAATCGAACAATTCTAGCCGATTAAGTTGCTTTTCAATATGCTCAGCCCAACGCTCCAAACGTTTTGACAAATTGTGGATAGGCTGTCCACTCTCATCACAAATTGTTTCACTAACACCAAGTCTCCTGCTGCCCGTTTCCCGTATCAGACGATGGTTGCCAAGGGCAGCGGCCACTTCCATCTCTGACGCACGATGAGACCACCAAGATTCGCGGTCTCTCTTCAGGCTAGCGCGGAGTTTTGCCCGGAGCTCTTTGCGAGTTTCATTGTGCTCGCTTCCAGCCGGGATATGCCGGTGAGCATCGATAAGTTCCAGAGACCGCGAACAGACCCAATGTTCATGTTGGCTATTAGACATACCACATGAGGATTTGCTCGCCAGTGATCGTTATGGCTAAACCTTACTCAGCCCCAAACCATGGTTCCAACTGAGATTACATGTTGCAATCCAAATGGACTGCGAGTATTTCCTGACCAACCAGTGAACGTTTCACCGCTGTGTTAAGTGTTGATCGCGTAGCCTAGTGGCCCAGTGATCAAGGCGTCGTCTGTCAGCCACTGCGTCTAGTGTTCCACTCTGGGTTCAGAGTATTTCTACCTAACAGTCAAGAGGGGAATGACACCTGTCCGAGTGCAATGTTGGAGGCTAGTAATGACCTACTTTGAATTTTTCTGGTCCCATACATTTTGCGTCATTATGAATGGCCAGTCGGATCACCATCGCTTGAGTTCCATTGCACTGGCCTGCTGCTGCGATAGTTGATTTATCTACTGGCAACTGTTTGTGTGCGGATACTTGTTGTTCATTGCGACTAAATCGGGAGCTTGGGATTCACATACCCTAAAATACTGCTTTCTACTTTCCAATCATTCATCCTAACTGAGAAACACTACACTCGTTTTGCCCATTTTCTCTAAATCAGTCGGAAAAAAATAACAGTCTAGGTTTCGACCACTTGTGACTCTTCAGCAGTTGAAATTCTCTAGTTCTATGGCTCTGTTGTTTGGGTAAGATGCAGCCGATGGTGTATGGCTGTCGTAACTATAGGCTGCTCAGTTCTAACGGATCACTGTGGGTTACTGAGTGGATGGAAATCGGTATAGCCGGGTGTTACCACGGTTTAGATAATACGGCTATGTGACCTCAAGAGCGGATTCTACACTGCTTGGTTTCAATGCATCCCATCAATCCAAATTTTCTTAACTGCCGTGTCACTTCTAACGCCTACGCGAATATGTAACACGTACTCTAGTTTCCAATTACAAGGAAGCGATCAGGCTCTATTTCATGTTTTGACTACACTACCAAATATTTTGCCAGAATATTTATTTTTTTCCACTCACTTCTTGATGCCATCCTTTCAGACTGTTCGCGGTGAATCGGATCTGACTTCTCGTCGCACAGCTCCGCAAGCTCATTTCAATCAGTCAATGGAAGACCGTAAGTTAACCCAGCTTAATACATTCTAGTTGATGGGGTTTGGGCCAACTACTTTGCCGGTACACATTGTTCCACTCCAACCTCTAGGCATTGTCATAATGTGCGCCTGCTGTGAAACTCATTCGTCAGTCTGCACTTTACACACGCGTGCATGCACGCCTGTGCATCCCCGGTTGTCGGTGATGCATTCTATCCGACGAAAATACAACCTAACCCGAGACCACGTAGGATGGGGCTTACAGTTCCTCATTTTCTTCCTTCGAACCATTACTATGGTGCTGTGGGAACACTGGGGGTCCGGATTCATGCAGCTGTTGTACACACACATAGCCTACGAGATGGAACCGGAAGGGAAGTGTGTGGTTTGCTTCCTACTGCCATCGTCGTTTCTGCTTCTGTTGGATCAATCAATGCAACCAACGATCACGAGGCGTTTAGTGAGAGGGGCCACAGAGAAGCCTACCTTAGAATGAATCACATGGGGCGATTTTCTCGGAACTGTCTGTTCACATAGGCCCGTGCTATTTCCTGTCAGCTGAAAGTGTGCAGAGCCTGAGAGTAAATCGAGGTTAGTTGACGGCTGATACATGCTACCGGCGATCACGCTTTTTCAAGGGTGATGTGGCGGATTGTTGGCCAATCAAGAGTAGGTTCATCAGACACCCTTTTTGTCCGTGAGATGCGAGATTGTGAACTGTTGTCGGAAATGTGACGAACAGTTGATTCAACGTGTGGGAAGAGTTTCAGACAGTTTGAGTTAGCAGCAACGGCGCAACCGCTTGGACTTCACAAAAGTACCTTACTTATATTAGTGTAATCATATCCCCTCCATCCTTACAACGTATTGCAATAGCATTAGTCTAGATACAAGATCCGTCCTAGCTCAGAAAAGCGGCCGTGTTCTCCAAGTCGTAGTGCCGAATGGAATGCACACAGCGACTTTATTCTACACCCAACTCTGTCACTGTCACACCATTGTCTGGATGGACCTTCAATCTGTCAAGTGTTCAACTACTTCTAAGTGTTGGTTTCTACATTGTACACTTTCCATATCTATGGTGTTCTCGGTGATTCAAATGTAGATTTTACGATTTGACGAAGAAACCACTTTCCTGAATCACGTATGTGTCGTGATTTCTGCATTTGCATCAAACCAGTCAATCGTTCCACCTGCTGCAGCATTGGACCGATCTTGGCTGTGGTTTTTGTTCGCGGAGTAAAACAACCGCTTCGCTGAGTCCACCCCACCGGCTTTCCCAGTGGTTGGGGTGCGTGCATTGTACAAATTCAAAAGGTCACCAAAGCAGACATTATGTTGGAAACAAGTTTGATCTTGTCGCTTAGTTTTATCGCACTGATTGGCTAGTTAGCCACCGGATCTGATTTTCCTCAGCATTCTTCAGCATAGCTGGCTGACGCGCTATCCACACGTGACATCTTGGTCTGCATCTACACACGGACGCGCACACATTCCGACTGCGCACACTTGTGAAAACGCATCTTCCGTAGATGTTGGGACGCATTTGCTTTGTGGTTTGTTTTTTCCTTGTTTGTTCGTCCGTCAAACCATTAAAAACGTGTTGTTTAAGCAAATTTGATGGCTAGCTTTCCATCAGCTGTTGAACACGTTGTGTGCCTGTTGTGTACTGCACATGTACGTGCATGTGTATGTGTATGTGTGTGTTGGAGGGCACACATGCCACTGAGAAGAAAATGGCGTCCGTCTATCCTCTGTCCAAAGAGCTGATTGACCCGGACGAAGCAATTTAACTACCCTGTCCGGCCCTCTCGGGCGCCTTATGGTCCCACTGCGATAACAGCCAGGTGAAGATATCTTCACCCAAAAGTATGAAACCAACGACCAAAGTGCTAGATTGCTTAAGCAACTCCATTATACTCGCCCGCAACACCAGACAAAATGTCTTAAGGCCATTTCGTCAAATTCATCACTCCTCAGTGATCTGCTATACTCTACCCTACGAATGACAACTGATTACATTCCCGCATATTGACAGTCTGGATTTCGATGCTGTCGTAGCTGAGCTTAGCTAATTCACGACCGACTACAATCGCCATTTTTGAGTTAAAATCCATCCATGATATAGCTGACAACGCTTAATTGTGGCGCTAATTACACTGCTTGCACCTAGGTTCACTAGATACGTTGCACATGTTGAGTATAGATATAAGGATGACCTAATTGTCTACCTATTCCTGCATCTGCAGAAAAACCCTTAGAGGTGATCAACCATTTATGGTGTATAAACCGCTGTACCGTCTCTGCTGGTGACTGTTGATTTCAAAGCGACTCGTTTTGACATTCTGTTTCAGTAAATCAAGGAAATAGGGACGCATCGACTCATCATTAAAATGCTGATTCTATAACGCTACGATTTGATCATTGTAGTTGCATGGATCTAGCATTCAAACATGAATATTGTAAACGTATCTGATCAATGATGGACGTGAAACGAAGCGCATGTATAATGCGAGCACTGAGGAAGTATCTCATAAACCCAGATCACATACGTTAACCAAGTCATTTTCCTCATGTCTTGTTCTCCGACACTGGACCTCATTCGGTAAGAGCCCAGCAAAGGTATTCCACGATAGTGAAGTGGTATACTAGGCTTGTCGATACGTGTCTTCTAGTAGAATGGGGCTTCGAGATCCAGCTGATTGATGGTTGGGGACCATTTCGCCATGGTACGTAAGCTTTTATTTTGCATTCGGTCTCTCGCTTGGCCATTAGGTACATATCTTTTCCAACTTATCCCAATAAAGTTTTGTGTTTGATTAGTTTCTTAGCTTGGCAGCTCAAGTCCACCTTGTAGCTTTCATACTCCATGCGTACAGCTGAAGGTCATCACAGTTCGCTTAGTACAATAATTGCTCTGATGCGGCCAACCTAACTGTACCAGCGTCATGATCTAACACGTCAATTTCAACGGCTGATTGTACCCGATATTTCCATTGCGAATTCATTTATTATCGACAGTTTAGGGCATATTCCGACACCGAAAACTTCGCTAACCGTTTGACTCAGGTTCATCCATCTGCTCGACCGACTTACGAACTGGGTGCTACCACCTGCTTTTGGTATCCCCTGAAGCACTAACACTGCTGCGCGGTTTTGAGCATGGAACAGCATACATTTTGCCATTTGGGTTATGGTAATTTAACTCTGCACCAGATCCACTGCCTGACTTAGTTTGAGCCGGCTACCTATCACGAAATGAACTGTCTCCACTGTGGCGGACGAATTCTGTTTGAATATATCCGTCCTTAGGACCTTTCTCATACAGCGAACATGTGGTGCGCATTTTATTTTACAAAATCCGAATTTCGAATAATTGCCATTTGCTATATCATCGACCCACTATCTCCTCTAGGTTACTGTTCGTGTTGAGCTTCAGAAGAGAACTACCAAGATAATATCTGTCTTTTTTCTTTTCAAATCATACCGTGCCGACGTTGAATATTCTTACATCTGAGAGGGTCATTTTAACCTTGGGGCATCTGCTGAGGCTCATCTACATTTCTGTGCCGTCGACGTTGCATAATTGATACCCAGAAATCGGACTGGACCGGTTTCCTGGACAGTACTTGATATAGGGTGCATCCGGTAATAATCTTTTATCTTTCTCCACAAAAGGCTTCAAGCGAAAGGCATTTGCGGGTTAAGAGAATGTCATCTAGTAGTTAAAATCGGTCTGGTTTGCTCGCACTGTTTGGAATGGTATCATCCGAAATGTGCACATGTGTTCCAACAACAGGTACGAGAGCGAAATCAATCCCAACATGCCCTTTGGTTCTACACTGCGTGTTCCACCATCCCACTCGTTAACTGCTTGCTTATCTTGGTTCAGAAGTATGACCGGTTAACCGCAGAAGCCGAGCAGAGGATAAACGATAAGATTAATTTAATGGATGCGAATATGCACCACAGAAGCGTAGCGCCGTCTAAGCAACGGAATGCTGAACAATCCGCTTCCCCTGAACCGCAATCAGCCACATCCCCATCTATGACCGTACCTACGAGAGTCGGACAGTACTCATGGCACCGAAAATCAGGCACCACTCGAAACGTCTGGTTAAGCAACTTCCACTAGACCTGAAATCTAGCATTAACAAGGATGAAGCAGCCGAATACCAACCCTCTGTAGCTCAAATGTCTCTTGTCGAGACAAAGCCCCCCGGAGCATCAGTTACATATGCAGAGATTGCTGCAAAGGTCCGCCGGGAGGCCGCGGTTGCGGCCTCTTCTATTGTAAACACCGTCAACGCGAATAGAGGGACAAACAATAAACAATCAACACTTGTCAGCAGGTCAGGACAAACGAGTACCATACCTTGTAGATCAACGAAAATGGGATCCAACAACAGTGCCCGGACTGTTGTATGCCCAAATGTCCCTGAATCTACCGCCATCACATTGCGGGATAAGTTGTCGGAGGACCAAGACCAGTGGAACTCATTGTGCGTGCTGATGAGTGTCAAAGCCAAGCCCATAAACTTGTTACGAATTACTCGTCATCCGAACTCGCCACACTATGTAGAACCCAGACTTATTCGAGTAACTCTAGAATCCTCCACCGACGTAGACAAAGTTTTCTCTCCGCAAGCGCGTTAAAACACGGATCCTGTGAATGCGCATCCATCCTGATGTCCCTTGGAGCACGCGATAATCAAAAAGAAACACAGAAGGGGGACACAGCAAGACCGCCGAAACACAAGCTTTATACATGGCGTGCCCGAACATCCTTCTAACGATGTTCAAGAGACCGGAAAGCACGATTTAGAACAGTGGCGGTTCATTCGTGAAACACTTTCTTTGAATAATATTGTGGCGCTATCGCTCACCAGGATTCCTCTCACCAAATTATAGAGGTGGCATTAGAATCATAAAACGTGTGGTTCAGTCAGAGCAACTAGCAACAGATGTTTTGGATCGATGGCGGAGAAATCGGAAACGTCTTCCTTCTGAACTTCGGTTAAAG